GGGGGGGTTATTGATGCTAGTCGTCCTTGGTCGAAATGATTTTCTCCAAAGACGCCTATGAGATGAACACATTATGCACGTTCGTGATAACTGGCCTTCAATTAAGGAAATGCCAGAAATAGATGTTACGGATTGCGGCACAAAATTCTCAAAGAAGCTATGAAGCTCTTTCCCTGTACGTCAGGTTTGTTAAAAAAAAGTCAGCCTACTTTCCTTATTTTGAGAAAATGAAAGCAGGCTTTTGAGATTACCTCGCTGTCTGTGTCAACCCTGTCAACTTTTGAATGCATGAACCAATCATTATAAAACCCGGCATGTATATCTTGGCACCGGAACCCGTCTTAACGGCGTACTTCCGAAATCCCTCATATCAATCTGTCTGTATTTGTATCCCACATATCATGGCAGGGCAAAGGCTCGGCATAAACTTTCCTGAGGCAATGAACCCACGGAAAATTTAAGAATTGTCGGACGCGTATGTCTGTGGGTCTGTATATATATACCCCTACCGTTGCTAGGTAACAACTCTTTCTTGAGCCAGATCAGTCCAATTCATACTATTCCATCCATTCTCTTTAAGATCCATTTTAATATTGTTCACCCACCTACGCCTTGGTCTTCCCAGTGCTCTCATTCCTTCTGGCTTTCCCACCAATATCATGTATGCATACCTCTTCTTCACCATTCGTGCTACATACCCTGCCCGTCTCATCCTCCCTGACTTGATCGTTCTAATTATACTTGGAGAAGAGTACAAGTTATGAAGCTTCTCATTATGCAGTTTACTCCAACCTCCTATCACTTCATCTCTCTTCGGTCCAAATATTCTCCTCAACACCCTGTTCTCAAACACCCTCAGTCTATGTTCCTCCCTTAATGTCAGAGACCAAGTTTCACACCCACACAGACGAACAGACAAAATTATAGTTTTGTATATTCTAATTTTTATGTTTTTGAATAACAGACGAGCAGAAAAAAGGTTCTGCACTGAATGGTAGCAAGCATTACCCGAGTTCAGTCTCCTCTTAATTTCCTCCTCAATCAGGTTTCGATCTGTTATCGTCGTTCCCGAATATCTGAACTGTGCCACATTTTCAAAACATCTGTTACCTATCTTTATATCATGATTTTGCCTTGCATTTTGGTGACGAGACAGCAACATATACGAGTACTTAGTTGTCGCTGTGTTTATTTCTAGATCAACCTCTTTACTTGCGTCAATTAAAGTTTGTGTGTTTTTCTTTATGGTATCTACATTATCACCCAGTAGATTCACATCATCAGCATAGACCAAAGCTGATGTGTTCCGTTTAATTTCAGCCCCATCTGGTTTTCCTGGACCTTCCTAATGGCATATTCTAAAGCAAAGTTGAAAAGGAGTGACGATAAAGCATCTCCTTGTTTTAGACCATTCTGGATAGGAAATTTATCGGACAAATATTTACCTATAACGATTTTACTATATGTTTCTTTTCAGCAGAGTTTAATCAGCCTAACTACTTTCATGGATATCCCAAACTCTATCAGAATATTGTACAATATTTCCCTCCTAACTGAATCATAGGCTTTCTTGAAGTCTACGAATAGCTGATGCACTGTCTCATCGTACTCCCATTTTTTCTCCAATATCTGACGAATGCAAAAGATCTGATCTGTAGTTTATCTGTTACGTCGAAACCCACACTGATCATCCCCAATAGTTTCATCTGTGAAATGCTACGTTTGGAGCATCGCTTTGTATGGGGCTGAAACTTGGACACTTAGGTCAGTAGATCAGAAACACCTGGAAAGCTTCGAAATTTGGTGTTGGAGAAGGATGTAGATGATCAATTGGACCGATAATATGAGAAATGAAGAAGTGTTATTTAGAGTCAGTGAGCAGAGGAATATCCTGCACGAAATAAGAAAACGGAAGGCTAATTGGATTGGTCATATCTTACGGGTAACTGCCTTCTAAAAGAAGTTATTGAAGAATAAATAGGGGCGGATATAAATGACCAGACGACGAGGAAGAAGACGTAAGAAGATGCTGGATGACCTTGGGGACAGAAGAAGATATTTTCATTTGAAGGAGAAAGCTCTAGATCGCATCAAGTGGAGGAACTGTTTTGGAAGAGACTGTGGACCTGTCGTCTTGACAGATTACAGGTGAATGAATGAATGGGCTTAACCTTGATTTAAGAATATAGGATAATATTTTGTATTAAGCTGATATCCCATGATAGTTACTACAGTCAGTTTATTCACCCTTCTTGTGAATTGGTACAATAATAGACTCCTTCCACTGATCAGGCAATTTTTCCTTATGCCAAATACGTAATTAGCTTATATTAATAGTACACTGTTAGAATTAAATTAAGATATATATTCAGAAAACGCGGGGCGTCCGCTATGATAGAATAAGCTGTTTATAAGTATATGCTAGAGAGGGTAGTATTGGCATTGCCTAAGCCTTTTTATATATACTTCTTTCAAAATAAAAAGAAATCCAGTGTACCGTGACGGACCGCACGGCGCTACGTGACAGAAACAGGACTCTACAAACGCTGTCTAGTCTCGAAGTCCTGTCTTCTAACGTACGTTCACGTACGTGTATCGAGTCGACGCTTCATAACGTTACAATGACCTTTCAGAAGAGCCTACGTGACATAGATTATGATAAAATAATTTGAAAGATGTATCCTAGCAACCAGACTTCAACACTGTCTTCCTTAGAGCCTAGCAATTAGGAAGAGAAAAGAGGCGAATGAAGTTCTGCGAAGTATGAAGCCTTTAGCATTATGAGTTCAAAGACAGCATCTGAGTTGGTCCATTGCAGACAAGAAACATTCTGTTGCAGTTAATGAGGTTCCTCAAAGGTATTTGTTACCTCAGTAAGTTGCCCGAACTTGGAATATTGACAGATAAGAGAAGCCATGTGCAACGTCTGATAAGCGCTTCAGTGCCTGCAGACAATTCAGAGCGAAGGGAGGCTTTTATGAGGATGAAGTGACCTCCCTTTCTCATGACACGTCTAATTAAGGACTACGCCATGAAAACATATGGGGGAATTCCCTTACTGGGAATCGATCTACAACCCTTCGGCCGTCGAGCCAGTAACCAGTCGCTGTACCCAACTGCGCTTTCCTGGCTACCGTGGCACAAATATAAATGAAAAAAAGTCGACATGAATAGAAGAAATGGGCTAATAATTCAGGGAGTCCAGCGACTTTCTAGGGACTAGATGACTGCCGATCGATTCCCGGTAGATGTAAGGATTTCTCTGGGAACTGAACATCGGATATCTTGACTGATATTTCAGTGATATTCTGCGTTCCTTACACAAATTTTTGGGGTTATATATCAATAGTAGCATTTTTTTAATCCTTTCCAATTCGTCAGTTATTCTACTATCTAAACGCGATATTCTCGCACACTGTTGGCTGTCTTTACGAGTGTATCCTGATTTTTCCCTGCATTCTGGTGATGAGACAGCAACATATAGTTATTTTTCTCTGTGCTTACTTGTAGACCAACCTCCTTACTAGCTTCACTTAAAGTCCTGTGTGTTTCTCTTTATGGTATCTATATTATCATCCCGTAGAGTCACATCATCGGCATAGGCCAACAGCTGATGTAACAGATTATGTACACTAATACTTACTCTTTTATACCTTTTACTAGTTCCGATATATGGATTGAATGAATGAAACTTAATTTGGGTCGTCACAGTTTACGTTTTGTGGTGCCGGATCTATATCCCTGCACTCTGTTATCCCCCGCAACACTTCTCCACCCAAATTTCTCGCGTCCCTCAAAATATTTCCTTCTTCACCCCTCAGTGTGTTGCTTCAGTCTTCCTACGTGCTACATATGTGACATCCCCCCCCCTCCGTCTTTATTCCATCTGCCTCCTTGCAGTCTCCAATGTACCTAGATCGACACAGTTGTCGAAAACCAGGCATAAGAATTTCACTGATATATTGGGTTTCTGAACTTTATCCATCGTCCTGGTTTTTAAGATAGAACGTTAGAACGGACCCAACAGAATAGGTGTTTCCCCTTTTCCTTCACCTGAGGACGGAAACAGATCCAGTTTCCGAAACGTCGTGTTTTTATTTGTTATCTTAAAAACCAGGACGATGGATAAAGTCCAGAAACCCAATATATCAGTGTGTTATACACCATCGTCAGAATCCTATAGTAACTATAAGAATTTCAACTTCATATTTCTTGAAGAAAGTCGTCTTCTGGGATCTGGCGCCGTGAAAACTTCAGAACTTAAAGATTTCTTGATTTCCATTTCAGAGTCAATCAGACAACGTTGGAATGAGGTGGGAATGATGGTTCACAATGAACGCAACGCGAAAACGTCCATCCTCTGAACGGGACTCTGCACCGGAACCGCTTACACAAGGACACAGAACTTCTGCACGGAACCGCCGTTATGCCTACTGACAGATGCTGGGTAAGTCGCATGTCCTGCTTCGTAGTGCAGATCTCGATGGATAATGCAGTGAACTATCTCTTCTGTGATTCGGGGCCCTCGCAGCGATGTGTGTGAATAGGATGTGAGGTCGTATAGTCTCCAAGAAGGCTACTAATATTTTGGAGGAAACTTCTGACTCCAGTTTCTTCTGCCCTGAACGTGTATGACACAAAACCCCCATTCATTTCTACATAGTACACGGCGTAATAACCTAGAAGTGGGAGATCTTCAAACTAATTCTTCTTTCGAGGGAATAAATTGTGAAAAGAAGACGCGAAGCATATTGTCTTGGGCCTTTGTGAAAGGTGAGGATGTGTACCGTCTGTGCCAATACTCAATGGCACCTACCTCAAAAGCTATCAATTCCTTTATGAATGTCTTGTGGTTCTCAAACGTCGTTATCATTTCATCTTTGTAAAAGAGTTGTCTGATGTTTCCGCTAAGCAGAAATTTTTTTTAAACTTGACGACGGAGAGTCAGTAAATAGGTCACAAATGGATGTAACATGTAAAACGTGATATTCTAACCTGTAAAAAAAAATATTTCTCGACATATGCTCCACCAACATTGATACACTTGTCCCATCGCTTTACCGCTGCGTCGAAACCCGCAGCAAAGAAGTCTTTTGTCTGTTGTCTCAGCCACTTCCGCGCCTTCGTTTCAAGCTCTACCTCATCAGCGAAATGTCTGCCAGCCACCACATAATCACGAAATTTTCTTAAAGAATATATTTTTCATTAAATCTTCTTTCAAGATACAGCTTTATATTTGTATTGGCACGATTTAGAATGGCTACTTGACGGGGTTTGGATTCGATGATTGGCTTCATTGCTCTTATGTACTCAGCTCGTAACTACAAGTAATACAGCGCCATCGCTCATCTACAAACTTTACAGTTCGCCGTTACACACACTAGGAATCTTAGCCTTCACTTATCGTTTCCTAACAACGGATTTCTTCACAGTATTTATACCAGTCTCACTGTAACTGCAGCACATACAAAGTCTTCTTTTCACAGCTGCACTCTTTGCAACTCAGATTAGTCTCACCTGGCCTGGGGTCCTCGTTATGTAGCTTCAGGATGGACTGAACAATTCCTCTGTAGTTACAGAAGTGTGTTTACCTAGCCGTTGCATAGAAACAACAGTTATTCTATTGTTGCGTACATGTTCATTTTCACAGGAACCGATCCGTTGCAAGCAATATATGTCTACTCCGGCTCCTCTGTTCCGGCTTTCGAGCGTCATGTCACAATACCTTTTCCAACCAATGTGATACATTGAAGCCTATGTAGCCAAGCTTGATGTCTGTTTTATTATTTTATCGTAACTATTTACATGTTATGAGGATTTTCGTCTGAAATTCCATAGGTTTTACTAACATCGTTGAAATTCTAAGGTTAAGGCTGTGTGCTGAATTTTCACTCTTGTTAACTGCTTTTTGGAGACCAGCCTCTAAATTATTAAACATTTTCTCATCTTGTGGAAACAGATTTTTCTTTAGGGCTGTACGTACTGTTTCAAAATCCTGCAGATAATGTAGCATGCCACTGTTTAATACCTTTGTTAAGAAAACATATCCGAATAATAATGTTGCTAAAAGGCGTTCTTCTTTTGTTCTTTGGTTTATGTTTTGTGTAGTTATTTATTTGTGGATACATTTAAAAATGCCACTTTTTCTAAAACATGTTATTCATATTCAGAAGAAGATCACTGCAAGGAAAAAACCAGGAAATACAGCGGAGCCTCAACTACATCTGAGCCAAGTATAATGTATAATGAGGCAATACAGGCATACAAAACAATGTTAATGCCATCGCTAACACAGTCTCCGCCGCTCCTGCACAACGTTTACATCGCTCATAGAACGAATCGAATGCCCGAGAAAACCTTGGGTTCCCTGGTCACAGTCCCTTGGATCGATGAAGTAAAACTTTAATCTCATCCTTTTCGTCGGAACTTTTAATTTAAGGAAAATATAAAAGTCAACCGGCAATGAATCAGGGGATTTTGGTGGATGGGATAACATGGGGATCCCCCGTTTCGACAAAAACTCGAAGAATGCGCCGGTGCATTGTCGTGCAGAGGATACCAGGACTGTGTTTCCTGAAACTCAGGCATAACGCGATGAACTCGAGCCATCAATCTCTTAATCACTTCTTTATAAAATTTACCGTTTACAGTCTGTTTTCCGGAACAAGTTCATGAGCATAAAAAATGCAGTCAACTTTATTTTCTCCCGCGTTTTCTGCGTTCTCAATTTCTGAGCTTCTTTGAAACTTTTATGCCATTTAAACACGCTTCTTCTCGATAAACATTCTTCATTGTAAACAGTTTCAGCATTTCAAACGTCTCAGTAACTCAGTATTACTGGGATTTTTGGACTTCTTCCATCGTCCGGAATTGTATGTAACAGAGGACCCGACGTTTCGGAAACTGGATCTGTTTCGTCTTCAGGTGAGAAAGGAAGACACCTACTCAGTTGGGCCCCTTAGAAAACGTTAATCTCAAAACTGCTTTCTTTAATTTTGCACAAAACTTATTCGCTCTTCTTGGTTCCATTTTGAAACCTTCGACGAAAAAACTAACTTCACCAAAACAATCGTAATCTTCATATGCATCAGACAAAGTAGTTGAGAATTGCTCATTACATAAATAAACGTTCTCTCTAATTAGTCCCGTTCATCCCTGAGAGATGGCCTTAGTAGCATTAACGTAATAGCATCAGTTCAGGAACTTTATTGGCACATTGTGTAGAGCTTATGGTTGCTCAGAGGAATGTATGTAAATTTCTAAAAATGACATTGAGAACGTAGGGCTTATAACCCTCACTTAAAATAAGCTATACTGAAATACCGAAACTCCCACCCAGTATTTGTTACGATAAGCTTGCGACTATATTGTCACGCGCGACCGCCTCTGTGGTCTAGTGGTTAGAGTTCCTGGTTAGAGACCGGAGCCGCTATTTCCTTGATATGTCCCTTCAGTTATCCTCGCGAGGCTGAGTGGACCCCGCTCCAGACCCGCTACTTCTCAGAAAATTTGGTAGCCCCGGGAATCGAACCCGGGACCTCTGGATCTGTAGCTAGGAACTCTGACCACTAGACCACAGAAACAAAATAAATAAAAGGCAACCAAATTAATCTTCGTGTCCATCTACTTTTTAAAGTGAGATGCATTTTGTCAAGATAATAATTATCAGGCGAAGCATTATATTGTAATGTGTATGAGTGTCACTGTAGACGGGTTTTGGATTGACGGCCGGATTTGTTGGACTATTTGATACAGCGCGTGACTGAACTTCACAGTTCACTATTGCACACTAATGTCCACAGTCACGTTTTCCCTACTGTTGCTTGGTAGCGGCTCTTCAACGGCGGACATACCCCTTCCTCTGGATTCCCGAAGTGTCCCATGCCTCAGCTATCAGCTTATAATAACATCTCACGACGTCTGAACCTCAGTGGTCCTCTAACTGCAGCTCTGAGTCAAAGTCAAAGTTACGTTACGACTGACGGTCAGTCGGCCTTTCTGTCTGTCTGTCAAAGCCCCCATCTTGAGCCTCAGACCAGATTTTTAATACTGTGAGACAGTTGCGCATTTGTTGATGTGGGGTTTCCTCTCTGATGAGAGGACTTGTCTGTTGTTTACAATTCCTGCCAGTCTTCGCCAGCGCAGTCATTCTCTGGTCCGAGTCCTGCGGGACACATGTCCATATTGTGACATGTTGGACCCTACCTCCCCAGCTGCGCGTAGCGGTAACATAGCGCTCGCGTAATAGGCGAGTAATCACCCCGCATCCTGGTAGCTATGCAACGCGCAACGCGCGGTGACGTCACGAGCGGAGCCGAAGTGAGCCGAGCGGAGCCGACGTTAGCCGAGTCCCCGCAACCTTGAAGCTATGCAAAGCGAATCAACAGCGGTGACGTCACCGCGGGATATCGCGGTTGCTAGGCAGCAGTAAACAACTCCGGACAGCGTGGCTAGCAACACGGCACCAGACGACAGTTGTCCGATCGAGGCTACATAAGGAGCAGCGAAGGCTATTCACAGTCAGTCCTGGAGCTACCGCCGAGTGAGTCCTCGAGCTACCTCCGAGTTAGTTCCGAGTTAGCCAGCAACTAGTCAGTTGTATTCTGGCATTTGGAGTGTACTATTTGTGATACTGCAGATAGCAGTAATCGTAAATCTGTAATTTGGGTGATTGTAAGTGCGAATGTGAAATAAAATTCGCTATATAAAATACGGCGTGAAGTTATTTGTCGCGATATACGCCCGATACGCGACAACTGGTGTCAGAAGTGGGATCAGTAACGCAAAACACGTTACAATATTTTACTTCCTCAGATTCGAGTCTGTGCCAAAGTAGAGGTTCAGCTCCCCATATTTATATCACTCAGGAGCATGGTGGCCCAATTATACCTTCAGACACTGGGTTCCCAGTCGCCTCCTAGGACTCGCAGGACTGCGGTGGATGTCTAACTGCAACCGCTAATTGGTCCTGTTAATAACATTTCGTCACGGACCGCGTAGAAAATGTCTCCTGTAGTTTTGTTGTATTCTCTTTTTGCGTGGAAACATTCTTCTTTGCAGAGCCATTACTTATCAATGGCTGTCGTATAGAGGCTTATTTCGCGGTCGTTACCTAACAATGGGTCTACATACCACAATATGTTAATTCGAAACACGTCTTTTAATTCTCTGAGACTTCATGGATAATTTGTTAGATAATAATTATCAACGTAATGAGAAATCTCTGCATAAATACCTTAATACCTGTTTATTGTCATATATAACTCCCAAAAGTTGGCTTCATCCCATTGCCTGTCACATTTCACCCCTTCATAAACTTCGATACAGATATTTATGTGCGTATATTGTGTGGGTACTATGTACTTAACGACCGGGGTTCGATTCCCGACAGGGTAAAGATTTTTCTAACCTTCATAATATCCAGAACGACTCTGGGGCCCACCCAAC